CACTCCATGTCCAATTCAACTTGCAGTATTCTCATTTACATTTCATGCGCCTTGTGATTTTTAAATTATGCCGATGAAATTCAGTATCTAGTCTCATGGATATTTGATTGTCTTCTTCTTGCAGTAGTTTAATTCAGCTCACTGGTAAGGCTTGGGTGAAACGTAATCTACTTTTACTAACAGAATTGTAATTACATTTCTACAAAATATTCTTTTAGTTTTTGCACAAAAATTAATTTTTCTACAGAGCTTTGGATTTGTAATGTCTTTATTTTCAACTGTGGTGTTTACCTTACTCCCCACAGTATATCGTATTTTCACTCTGTGTTGCATTTTGTATGTAAAACTAAATAGAGAAACGATAAATTAAGCATAACGATTGCAGTACCTCTCTCTCAAAAGAAGGTCATTCAAATTAAGCAGGGCACTAATTGTGTACTATTAAAAGCAATACAACAACTTAGGTAAAAGGTGTAGTTATTGTTATCAGTCTAAGTAACAAAGCCTTTTCATAAAGCAGTGCAATGTGCAAACTGAAGCCTGAGGTGCCTGCTTGTTGGCAGAGGAGTACAGAACGGCTGCTTTGTTGACGGTCTTTGTTTTATGTCTAAAGTACATACACTATGACGCAGGAAGCATATTGTTGTCAATTTGTTAACAGTACGCACAACGCACAAAATGAAATGGCAAAAAGATTGAGCTGGGAAGGTATACTGCTGATTTGAGAGTTACATAACTGTATTTTGCTCTGTTCTGTAGCTCCATCGCTCATTAAATAATTTCACTCCGTGTTCCTGTTTCACTCTGCTTCTGTTTTGTTCTCTGAGTGTTTGCCTGCGCATAGCATAACACAACGTAAATGAACAGTAATGGAAAGGATATGGCGATTTGTAACAATCTTTTTCTAGGTGTAACAGTAAACAATATTGGAGATTTAGATTATACCTTAGTTGAACAGTCACGGCTCAGCACAGGTTCAGTTCAGGCTGAGAAAAACTTCAATGCAAAGTTTATTTTATTTTGAGAAGACGGTAGTGCAACTGTCAAAAAGATACAAAATCACCTACCTATATTTTTAGTACCTATTTTTACAATTTTGCTATGATAGAGATTATACAGGAGTACACGTAATGCTGGTTAGAGCCTTTAAACTGAAACTGGTCAGTATTTGTTTCAACACATTTAAGTCCTTGCCAATTACAGTTTTTGTTGACAGTTGTATATTTCCATCTTTTCACCTTCCCATAAGGCAGCTATCCCTCTCTGTATTTAAAGACCTAGTTCTGGTAAATGGATTACAATGACATCTGGAAATGATTGAGGTAGAGGACATCTCCTCCATTAAAACCACAAGCGAGTCCCAAGATATAGAGAATAAGAAATTATACTGTTAAGTACTGGTGCTAATGTCACACAAGAGACATGCACAGAGAGCAGCAGCTGAGCACACATACCCCATACTCTATACATTTCTATGTAAAGACACGGCATAGGCTATCACATAATATTTCAGTATATCTGAGAACATTATTTTGGAAAGCGTTTGACCTTGATACAAAAATAATGATCCTGAAAATGTATTGTTTTTTATCCCTCCTCTCTGATAGAGTAGCTCAACTGAGATGTCATTACAACCACATAGACAGATACTGGGTTGAAAAGAGGAGCTTACATTGTGTAGGACAAAGATACGAAAAAGACAAGTAAAGTCTCCCTCACACTTATTGATTTGACTCTGTAACCCAGGGCTGAAGTTTGTGGAGTCTTAAAAAGTAGTTAAAACTGAAATTCACCTGCCAACTTTGCCTTTTTGGATGATAATGTGCCGTGGCTAATTTACAGTCAGCCCACAAAAATGAAAATGAAAATCAGAAACCCCAAAAAGATAGCATTAAGTAGAATTAAGGTTACTGTAATGAGCTTTTATTTCGCTTTGCAAGTCTGTTGTGAAGGCATCTGGGTCACTCGTGGGCAAAATGTCAAACAGAGAAGTTCAGCTTTAAAACTTTCCCAGTGATCTTAAAGGTTTTAATCAGTGTTTGATGAAGCCGTGTTTGTTGTAAGATGCATCTGGTGCTGACGGTGGGAGCAGAGAGTGTGCCATGAAACTGAGCACACTGGAAGACCTTCACACGGCTGTTACCATTTTGAAGGCTTCTCTTGCTGCAGGCTTTCGATTGATTGAGCATGTCTGTGTGTCAGAGATGGATCGAAAATGTGTATGTCATAATGTCAAATTCATGTACTCCTACAAGTCCTTCCCTGAGTGAGAACAGGCACAACGGCATCATTTTAATTGGCTCAAAACCGCTGTTTTGTGCATTTTAATAACCGTTCCTAACAGATATTGATCTCGCTGTTGAATCACAGAGTTCACAACACACTCTGCATGATAGAATTATTTCTTAACAATATATATTTAGTTACTTAACTTATATAATAAAACAGAGCTCAAGAACAGGGTCATGAAAATATCACACAGCAATGTAGCCTGGAGTCCCTTTATCAAACATCTTCTAACATTGGATGCCATTTTGATTCCTTTTCAAGCAAATGTTAAAATGAGCACAACCAGGCAGTATAAACCCTGCAACAGTACTGAACACTGATCACTGTCAAACAGAATGAATATTATCTTCTAAAGATTACTTAACAATATGATCAAATGTAACCCTTTTGTAACAACATTTTGATTAGTAACTGCAATTGAATGACATATTTTTTTCTCAGTTACTATAACTGGTTACAATGACATTTATACAACAAATAATTTCTGTTATATAATCATAATAATTCATGCATTCATCCACAATTCACTCCTGATGTGTGCAATATGTGAGAAGAATGAGAAATACAATTAAAATCTTTAATGTTCCAGGCAATTCTGAGTGCCAACAATGCTATTTACACCCGGGTGTCCGTAGCCAACAATGCTTACACCCGGGTGTCTGTAGCTAACAATGCTATTATACATAGATCGGTGGCTAGCATCAGGTTCTCTGAAGAGAAAAGAGGTTAATGAAGATAATGAGAGTGAGTTGGAGGCATCTACAAGCCAGATTCTAAGATTGACGGCGAAGATTAGCTGGTTTTAGGCTCTCGTTAGCCAGTGTCTCGTAGCACAGAACGCATACTGGCAAAGGCCCATCTTCAGTGCCTGTGTAGGTAAATCCCAGTTCCAAGTAGTTCTCATTGTATTTTCTCTTAATCTTCCGCGGAATCTGGCTTGTAGATGCCTCCGACTCACTCTCATTATCTTCATTAAGGGTAACGTTAACCTCTTTTCTCTTCAGAGAACCTGATACTAGCCACCGATCCATGTTTGTGGTTTTAAACTCGCACACGTAACCATGGGTAACCAGTGGTGAAATTAAGTGTTGTCCTTAATTAACAATAACAAAAATCTACGTTTTATATATGTACTTATTTTTACAGTTTGCATATATGAGGTGGTCCGTGAAAATCCTTGATAATAAAAAGTGGATTTTATTTAGCTTTTTTCCACGGACCACCTGCAGCCGCGGACCACAGTATGAGAACCGCTGCACTATAGAGTGCGCAAAGCTTTTAATACACAGAAGTGAACTGTCAGACAGCTGAAAAGAGCTGGAGCCAATAAACGATGTAAGAGTTGTACCTCAGTACCGTGTCAAATGAATGAAAGTCAGTATATCAGTTACATTTCACCAGATATATGCGAGTGTAGGCTGTTTTTGAAAAAGAGCATCTGACCCATTGACGCTACTTAAGATAGATAGTAGGTGAATGGATGGACGGATGAATTGATGGATGATGATAATTAATACCTAGCTTTGCTGACAGTATTTGGAGGGCTGCAGAAGTACGAGCTGTTTTTTCCATTTTATTCATTTTTCTTCATCTACAGGCAGTAATTGTGCAACACATGAGATTTACTATAATGACTCATTTTATGCTCGTGTCCTTTAGTCAAAGCTCTGTCAATTTAGTTTCATAAAGCCCAAAATTGCCTTGAAAAATAAAGCTTTGAACTATTGATTCATTTCTCTGCTTTTGGGTATGCTTTTAATTATTCGGCAGACAGCAGCGCAGCAGTCAGACTAACTGCATATTCCGAGGCTGTAATGAGTACTGTTTTTGTTGGATTTTCAAAGTGTTCTGTATTATCGTTCATAATTGAGTGATATTTTCCCAGAAGTGTGTTCTGTGTCTGTATTATGTTGAAGGGAATACTTTGCTGCTGGAGTGAGAGTCATGTGAAACGGCATCACAGGAAAAGTATTTGACAGTCCTTCACAAGTTCTGATTGTTAATGACAACATGAAACAATTACGGAGAGTACAAATGTATAAAGATAAAGGACATTTAATGCGCAAATGTCAAAAGCAATGAAAGCACCATCTAATTACAAGAGTTCAGCATGACATTCCATTTTATATAATGTATAAGTTCCACAAAGGGAGTATTAATGGAATTAATACATTACACATACATGTAGATGTGTTCCTGCCCTTGAGTCCAGTTCCTCTGTATCTACAAAACAACCTGCATTCCCCGTTAAAGAAGGACTTTATGTCACAGCATCAATTAATCCTGTTGTGTGCTAAAAAGTTATGTTTTTTATATCTCATAATAAAATATGGGTTTGTAGCAACTAAAAGCTGCTTTAGAAGAATTGCTAATGCCAGACCAAGGACAAAAGGATCCTGATTCATGCAAACATTCATGTCTTGCTAATTGGAGGATTAGGAATGATTTTAAATGTTTCAAAATGCTGTGTGACCCAAAAATACAAACTGCGTCTGTATATTTGTCCTTTAGTGCATTGTGTGTTTTTGACTTAATTGTATCTGGCCCCTGTTGTCTAGATATATTTATCCCCATCAGTTAGGCTTCCCGAACAAAAACACATTTTTCAAAAACACAGAGGAAAAATGATATAATGCACTCATAATGTGCCTAAAATGTACCCATAATGTTATCTAATGACAACGAAATGATTTTTGCCTGTGATTTCTCAGGATATGCTTAACAACCTGGACCCTCCGGCATCTGGAGAGCTGGATGAGGATGACCTCATGCTGGATGTGGACCTCCCAGAGGACGGCTTGCACGGTCAGCGCGCACGCACACACACACACACGCACACACAAATTGTATTTATCTTATACAGATTTAAATTTGCGAGGTTATTCTTTGGCCATGAGAAATGCTTTAGTATCATTGGCTGGAAGTCATCCATTATTCTTCGGACACCTGCAGCGTTAGTGCTCTGATCATAATTGTAAATTAATGCATTAACCAAGGCCTGAGCATTCTATTTCCAGCATTATCCTTTTATGGCATATAATGTCTAGAATTGAATAAATCCCATTTTGCCTTGGGTGAAGAATTGTCTCTGCAACATCCATTAGCATCTTTTAATGGACACCTTATTGTCTATTATGTGCTGTTACTGCTAATATTTGTTTGCTGAAGAGTTATTTAATTACAACTCCAACATTGTTCACAACTAGCTCTGAATGACAGGTAGGCAGCTGACTTGGAGCAGTATCATGCTGCCTTTGTTTATAGGAACAGATGCACACACAGTTGCGTATGGTTACAGCACATCCACATTGCATACATAGGCTCAGAAGATCAGAGGCTACATTTGATCGCCTTGAAAACAGCAGTCTGGTGTTAGCACAATTAGTTTAATAGCTTAAAACCCCCCGCTACCATCTTGATATGATATCTATTTCTGTCTTCAGTGCTTTCTCTGTGGCTCATTTTCACTTTGTGGATTTAATCAATTGCTAATCTTATTGGGAAACAGTAAGATAACTTCTTTGTGGGTTTTAAAGGTGATCAGGTCATCATATTGCCACATAATAATAGTGTTGACAACGTTATTATGGATTCAGTGGGTAGTGTGGGTCACTTACATGAAAAGGGACATTTTGACCTCACCTATAATCAAACATGATGCATTCTAGGAAGGCACTCCTGAAGCTAGCCCTGTCACATTACCATTCATGGCCAATGAATAAGGCACATTGAAATATATGGATGGGCAAACGCACCCATGCACATGTACAATAGTTAGGTGTCAGGCACCCCTAGCAATGCTGCCCACCGCAAATGCTCTGCAGTAAATTCTAACTTTTATGAAGTTATTTATCAGCTTTTATGATATCAAGTAATGTCATTGATATAAACTACATCCTCCAAAATGATCATAACATTAGATGAACAGCTCTCTAAAACAGCTTTGACAAAAAGGGAACATTACAACCTTGCAGATGGTATACATTTATTGCAGGCTTGTTGTATTAGACTGCATTAGTTTTAGCTAGGTGTGCCTAATAAACAGTCAACTGCAAATACATCACTGAGGCATCTTTACACCTCTGATGTCATCTTCAGTCTGTAAACAATGATTTGGTTTTGAGTGAAGCAAACCGACAGGGAGAGGGAGAGGAGAATGTTCACTCCAGAGGAATGTGAATCGGCGTGTTGTCCCTTCCTACTCCTTTTTGGGAAGTGACCATATTTATAGCGCAGTGTGTCATGGCTAGTGCTAAAGCGTCAGAGTGAAAGCAAGAGAAGCTGAAGAGTCCAGTTAGACCCAGCCCACAAGGCAGGCCTTGAGACACGGGATAGGAAATGGTGTTCCCTCCCTCCCAAAGACACCATGACTCTGCCACAGACCAGGAAGTGGAGAAGAAGACAAAAAGGGATGGGTAGAAGAGGCCTCATGTATTCATTTCATCCAGTTACCGGGTCCCGTGACAGAAGAGAGAGGCCCCAGCTTCTCTCTCTTTCCTGCTACAGCTAGTGAATTTCTTTCTTGGACACAAACCAGTTACATCAGCTGCTCCCCACCACCACCACAGTCATTTCTCCCCAGCTGCAGTTCCTAGGGAGTTCCCAGAAAAACAAGCCTGTCAACAAAGACAGAAGCAGACGGAGTGGGATCTGGGTAGACTTTCTCTCACTGGCCCTTTAACTACTCACCAGCTGACTGGACAAGGAGACATTTCTCTCCACTCTCCGTCTGAGTTTCTCTGCCTTTGTGGATTTCTCACCCCCAAGTTGGAATATATTCCTTTTGAATTACTTTTTAGAGGACTTTTTCTGAGCTGAAAAGAAGTTACTGGAAGCGCTGAAGTTTCCTGGAATGTAATAGTTCAGATTCAGGCTGAAGTCTGCTCCTGTGCTATGTGGTGACACTCAGGGTAAAGTAAATCAAATGCCACTGCTGAATTCCTTGGATTGCTGTCTTTCAATCTGCTCAGTAATTCTTTATCTCTCTTTTGTCTATCTCTCTTTCTCCCCTTTCTATCTGGAACATAGATATTCAAGGGTCCTTTTGATTTCCTGAGGGTCTCGCTCTGTTAGTTGTCAATTTTGTGGCGTTCATGGTTCATTTCACAGCTGTGTACTATTGAGTGTTGCCAAATACTGTGTCCTTTTACCTCCTTGAAAATGTAATGGCCTGTCACTGTGTGTGTGAGCGTGTTTTTTGCATTTGATGTCGGAGATGAATAGAGAATAAGGAGGGGGGATCCGATCATGATTTATATGCAAATACCCAAGATAGGGTATCTGAAATATACACAGAAGTATTCATTACCACAATATATGAAACATTGACTCTCAGTCTTGCTTTTTGTGTTTGCTTTAGAGTGGTAGTAAAAGACAAACACTGGCTGGGAAAAAGAGAAAAACATACATTATAACCTTTGCAGAAATGCAGCTTATCTTCAACAACAAACATCCACTTCACTTCAACAAATAACAGCAGCAACATAAGTGATTTTCTTGAAGACCATATCTCAAACACTGGCTTCATACATTTCAGCTCAGATCAAAAAGTGTTTATGCTCTTTTATCCTTCACTTGCTTCTTCTCTGTTTTAGATATTCAGGTTTCTTTACTCGGTCTTATCTTGCTCCAAATTCTTCTGCATAGACGCTGACAGGATGTCCCACTTTGAGTGCTCAGAGAGGGCCGGTCGGCAAGGGCAGCAGCATAGACACCATCGCTGGAGTGGACCAGATAACTTCTACAATGATAGCAGGTTGGTTAGGCCTGGAAGGATGTCTCCAGAAGAGAATTCAAAAGTAGAATGCAGAAATCAAAGACACAAAGCCAACATCATTCTGTATTCCCTCTGCCTGGCTCTGACTCTCTCCTCTGGGTTTTATCTCTTTTTCGCAGGGCCCATGTTGTTCAACACTATGACAGTCTCAAGGCTTCGAGGGTCTCTTCACGCTCTGTCCCCTCTGAAGGCAGGCATCATGGCTACTTGGCGATGCTGGATGAACTCACACTCGAACACGTGACTCAGGACTGCGGCTCGCTGAAGAACCAGCTGCTCAGGCTCAAAACAATGCTACAGGTGAGAGCCATTTATAAACACAGAGGTGTACGGGTGCATGTAGCAAAACTTGCACACTCTTACGGCCCGTCCACACAGCGGCGTGCGTTCAACGCTGCTTCCCATTCACTTTGAATGGGGTGACGTCACGCTTTGCCGAACTGCATTGTTGTTCCGTCGCTTCGCTTTGCCTCCGTTGCTCGCTTTAAAAGTTGAGAAAAGTTCAACTTTTCAAGCTTCGACGGAAGCGTCAGCCAATCAAATCATATGCCAGTACAAGCTCTAGCCAATCAAACCGCGTGCTTGTGTGTCCGGGGCGGGAGATTCATGTGATTGGTTGTTGGTCGACCTTCAGACACGCCCGCCGGCAAGCTTCAACGCACGCTGCCGTGTGGACGCTGCGTTACACACGTGAATGCATGTAGAGAGATCTACAAGATGCCAACACGTAGGTACATGCACGAACACACACAAGTGTTCACAGAAAACTCTGTGACTCTTAGTTATATGTTTACCATTGTTTGAGTTCTGTTGCATTTGCTGTTGAATATGTCACAAACATATAACATGCAGATATTATTGCCACTCCCATTTTTTATTTTGGTCTCATATTAGGCACATTTCTGAGTTTTGGGTACAATTTCAGATGCTTTTGTTTTTTAAATTCAGATTTATATTTTTTTAAGATAAGCTTTAATAATCTTCTTAAGATGGCAGGAGTTTGCTCCACTGCACTGCTGTGGAGTGTTCTGCAGGGGAGACATGAGAAGTATTTTCTGACAAAACTCAACTAAGCTATTCTTGATCTATAATGCGCTTCCACTTCAAGTACTTAGAAGTTATTAAATGTTTAATTACGTCAGTTTTATTATTCCTGTCATCACACAGGAACAAATGCATCACTCCCCCCCCACATCCTATCATTGCCCCCGCCCACAAACCCCAAAGTACTGTCAAACACCTGGTGTCAAACTCAGAGGCTTTCCTTTGTGTATTTGTCCCTTTTATTAATAAATCATCAATTCTTCGGCAACAGCAATTTTAGTTATTAGATGCTCTGAGACTCCTTCTCTTTAAATGCAGTCTGTGTGATTTGTGATGCATGTTTGCGTGCACTTTGTGAAAATGATCAGATAATAGATATTATAATTATGATATATATTTTCAGTTTGTCAGTCAGACAAATCTATTTCATGGGAAGAAGAGTGGGTGACAAGAAGGGAGAGGAGAGGAATAAAAGATGTCACCTATAGAAATGAGCTCTTGCATATGAGCTGAAAACACAAGTCCCACGCTCCTGCGAAACACAGACACCCATCTTTGAAATAGCTGAAATGCATAAGCTATTCACACTGCGCACGCTGTAAAATGAAATCATCCTGAATGCTTCCAACTCAATTTCCCCTATACAGCATAACAAGTGATTCTGCTTTTGCATTTAAATCAAATCTCTCCTTCAGATGTGTTCATTGTGCTCACTGCAATTAGTCAAAGGCGTTTGCTGTACGGCCTCAAGTAGTACCAGTGTTCTTTATTGTGTTTTAGTATGTTGTGAGCTCAAGGCAATGCATGTAAAGTGAGCCACTAGCCTTTCTGAATCCTAATTGATCATTAGTGTATTGTGTCTGACATCCAGACATGCTGGTTTCATCTGATTAAAACCACATGACCTGAACAAGAAGCAGGTGGAACGTAGTGTTGTAATATGTTATTTTAAGTATTTTATTGAATATTAATCGCAATTTTGATAATTTTCAAAAGCCATCATATTCAGATCTGATAACCTTTGATTGAGATTTGTAATTATTCATGAAAATTGTAATCACCAAGTTCTTTATCTAAACCATGATTGGTTAAACAATCAGCAAATGTAATTACAGTTTGCACTTAATATTCTTTTGATAGCTGCCCTAATTTCATTTAGTTCTCTATGAAATAAATGTAGTTAAAAAACACTCCGCTCTGCCTGAGGTATCTAACATTGGATGCTTACAGTTCATGGTCAGCAAAGTATATATTAGAAATAGTAAAGTTATTTCACTGTGGCAGAAATATTGCTCTTGAGGCATGCGTCATTGATCCAGCTCACTGTGTGTGTGTGTGTGTGTGTGTGTGTGTGTGTGTGTGTGTGTGTGTGTGTGTGTGTGTGTGTGTGTGTGTGTGTGGGTGTGTGTGTGTGTGTGTGTGTGTGTGTGTGTGTGTGTGTGTGTGTGTGTGTGTGTGTGTGTGTGTGTGTGTGTGTGTGTGTGTGTGTGTGTGTGTGTGTGTGTGTGTGTGTGTGTGGTGTGTGTGTGTGTGTGTGTGTGTGTGTGTGTGTGTGTGTGTGTGTGTGTGTGTGTGGTGTGTGTGTGTGTGTGTGTGTGTGTGTGTGTGGTGTGTGTGTGTGTGTGTGTGTGTGTGTGTGTGTGTGTGTGTGTGTGTGTGTGTGTGTGTGTGTGTGTGTGTGTGTGGTGTGTGTGTGTGTGTGTGTGTGTGTGTGTGTGTGTGTGTGTGTGTGTGTGTGTGTGTGTGTGTGTGTGTGTGTGTGTGTGTGTGTGTGTGTGTGTGTGTGTGTGTGTGTGTGTGCGCTGTTGTGCGTGTTTGTTTGTTTCCAGCTTGAGGATACTGACTCTCCAGCAGATGTTCCTGAAGATATTGAAGACAATACAACTGCATCACAGGTAACACTCTTTACTTTAGGTGTATAGCAGTGGTTGTTTGGATATTCTTTATTTGTCTCCAGTTTTCTTCACAGTATACTGTATGTGTTTTTCCAGTTGGAGGAGCTGATCAAGGAAGTGCAGGTGCTCAGAGAGGAGCTGAGGAGCCGAGACAAGACCATCGCTCAGCTCACATTGCAGTGCCAACAGTTACAACATCAGCGGGAACCAATGGTGAGTTGTTGTGTTCAGGACTGATACAAGTGGAAAGCCTGAAAAGGGAAATGTATTCTATGTCAGATGGAGAAATGATTACATTAATTTGAGTAATACATTGTCGTCCTGTCTTTTATTTTGCACTATGACAGACATTAAACACAGCGTAGGGCACGTAAATCCATAACACTTCTACAAGTGCTGAATCATCAAACCAACTGGAGGCAAAAGTCTGATAAGATCTGCACACTGTACTCATAGCTCCGAGCAAAAAGCAAATAGGTTTGACAATGCCTGACAAAGATCTCTGTTGGATCAGAATGTTGCTCTGATCAATTACATTTGCTGGGAGCTATCTGTAAGGCGTGCAGATATTATCTTGTCTGGAATCATCACTGATAGTATAGACGGTTGACAGTTTTTGATCTTGTTACAGTTTGTGAGTTATTTCTGCTGATGGGTTTCTGTTGTATTTATGTTTGAAAGTACTACAGTTTTTAAAAACAGGTCATTAGCGAGATTAGAAACAGACAAGATTATCGCAGAGAGATTCTGCAAATGCAACCCTGACTCCTTAGACCATTGGCTTGCCAAATAAAAAAGAAATGACAATATTGGACGTATAAGGGTGCAAATATATACATATATATATATGATTGTTATTATGGAGCTCTAGTGAAGGGAGCATACTGTATCAGCACCCTCTTTATGTTAAGATGCAGCTTTTATACATGTTCAAAGTATACTCTTTGAAAGACACTCTACATGACATATGTAGACGCTAAGGTGACGCTCATCACTGACAAGTAAATGATCAAAGCTCATACACCGAAAATCAATTTAGGTTCATCTTCCGTGTAGTGGTACAGTACATAGAGGTGTGTGTTCCTGGAGCACGTTCACACAGGGCTGTAATGGCCTGCAAGCATGTAGCTTCTAGTCTGGTATTTCATCACCCTGACACCATTTCTCTTCAGTCTTGAAATGTCTGGGCTCAGCCTTCAATCTTTTTTTTTTACATCAATACCAGATTTTATAAAGATATAAAAAGGAGAAGAAATAGCGTTTGTACAGACATCATCACCTTGTGCTTTGTGGCACTTTGAGGGATTGAGGAAAACACACAGTTTAAAAGGCTTGATAGATGAACGGATCCACCATTCAGCTCTCTAGTGGTCTGTGAAGACATACTGTTGTACCCTTTAATGCAGGTTGGAGTTAATTTCTCTGCTCCCTTATGCACTCCAGTGTGTCTCCTCGCACGCTTAAGACTGCGTTTCAATATCCTCCATTCTGTTCGCTTTAAGCTGACTCCATCTCCACTCCAACATTCATTAGTGTCTTGACCAGAATCGCTTGTTAGCCATACAACCGTATGCCTGGCTGACATTATTTAAATCCCTGTCGTATAGAGAAATACCATAATGTCAAAGCAGGGTCTGTCCTCCAGCCTCCCTGCCGCATACTATGCCTCCAATTAGAATGATCACTTACCCACTGCAAGTTCTTCATCTGAGCACAACATTGTTGCACCCTCACAACAAGCAAAATGAAAAGGACATTTTCAGATCTGTGTCTGACATTAATGAGTGTGGAGGCTGTGATGGTGCTTATAATTCATAAGACTGATAAAGAGCCTATATTGAGATAACATAGTCAAAGTGGTTTAACAGATGAAAAAGGAGGTTATGTTCTGTCATGTGCTTAAAGTAAATGTCAGGGTGAGTTTCATTTACGGAAGGATCTTTAAATTACCATGTAAGGGTAACCACTTACAACCAGGGCTTGTTTTTCATATGTCAGCAATAATACAAAATGTATGATAACCTTCTGACTCACTGTCTTTTTCCACATTCGATGTGAAGAAGGGAAGATGCACAAATTGTAATTAATTGCTTGGCCAAAAATATTCCTTCATTTTTGAAATGTCATCTGTTTTATTTGTAGAAAAACAAAAGATAGTTTGAAGAAAATATTGCACATTCTTTATTTATTTGGCTGTTGTCTGTTTGTTCATGTTATTATATCTGATATTTCACAACTAAGTGGGCGGTTTCCCTCGCCACCAGTGGTGTAGTGGTCGTTGGAAGCGGGGGATTGCCGTTCCCCCTCTTATTTGGAGCCTCCACTTTTTTGAAGCATGATTTTTTTAATAGTCTAATAAATATAAAATCATTGCCAGTGTTATCAATTGCAAGTGTGTATCAGTTCTATAATGACGAAAACACAATACATTTCACAGAAATTATAATAAAAAATAAAAAACGATTTCCTTAAAAAATTATGATTCGTTATCACGCTCGTGACCCCAGCGTGACACCACCAGCTAACTAAAGTAGGACTAAGCATACCGGTAGTTTCTGTAGACCTGTCTGCCCGTTTTGGGCACTTGTGGCCTTGTTTGGGATGACCTAATTAAAATAGCGTCCACCCAGTAAAAAGATCCCCACTACACCACTGCTCGCCACAGTATCATTCCGGAAAAGGTTATACATTAACTATTGATGCCAAATGCCAAATACTAAATCCAAGAAATGAATTATATTTCTTTCTTTTTAAATTATATTCAAGCATCCAAGTCAATTTCTATTGTGCTTATTGTCTAAAAGTTTAATTGAGGTGGTGCTAATTGCACTGATTGTACATGATTTGCCCTGCATAGTGACTTGCTTAGTGCCAGCATTAATGTAGAAATAGAACATCTGGCCCAGGTTAAAATAAGTCAATAAATACAGCTTCCAGACATTGGTTAATAAGCTTTCTTTCATTCATTAAATTATTCTTACTCCCTCAGCCTGCACAGGGGCGGTCGGTCAGATGTCAGTGTCACCACCAGAGGGCGCCCTCTTCACTACGACAGGGAGACAGACAGATGGACAGACGGACGCAGCATCACTATGACAAAGCCACGCAGACCTACTGGAGACCACCGAGCCACGCTGTGAGTCCAAACAGCCACTGCACGCATGACAGCACTTCTGAAGTGCTCACAACTGTGAAATATTGCTGATATCTGAAACTGGTCAAGAATGAAATGCGTGTGTTTCAACAAACATCTTTATACCATTTCATATGAGCACTTTGGGATACTCTGGTGACTGTACATGTCTCACTGCGCTTGAGTCACTCAACCAGTTTATCTACTGCCTCTCAGGCCAGCCATGTCTGAAAACGAGTACACCATGTCCCCTCTATGGAATACAGTTTATTACGATGTCAATGTGCTTGTGACCCTATCACACACTCGTTTCACCCAGATCTCACTCTAAACACGGAGTTGTGAAGCTGGTGTTTAATTCAATTACTGAGGATGAAGAGTTAAAGGATGGAAAGAAAAAAGACAGATTAAAGGAAGTAGGAATTTAGACAAAGATAGTTAGGTGGAAGATGGGCGGATTAGATATGTGTTCAATGTGTTCAGTATCATGCCACTATAGCATGCTGTGTGGCAGCCAACTATTGATTCAATAGCAGGAGTGCCACAGGCAGGGTGCCTAGTAAACACTCCCCTAATTGACCTGCTCTCATCACACACACACACACACACACACACACACACACACACACACACACACACACACACACACACACACACACACACACACACACACACACACACACACTAGAAAAGGCAGAAATAAGAATTTTAAGGACATTACGTTGAGTAAATAATGTACTACAAAACATTACACCAAAGAGATTTTCAGTCTTATCTGTTTAATTGTAGAAATGAGACCTCGAGTGTATTATGTATATTTTATTATGTACAGAGTAAATACATAAAAACAAGCTCACTAACCAAAATACTGTATGTCCCTGCTTACTGTACCACAAGAGCATATTATGGTTTAACAGTTGCTATGGTAACCATCAAAGAAGGACTAGCTGTGCTCTATGGGATGCATCTCGATGATGGGAATATCTACCTGTGACCTGTAGCGCCTGGTGTATAATAACACCCTAAAACACAGCCAGATGGAGTGTATTATTTTCCCATATTCTTTCTACTCTGGTTTTTCTGACATGTTTGTTTTCTTTTCCACCATCCTCTCTTTTCTCTCCCTTTAATCTACATTACTTTTCCTCACCAGTGTGGAGAATGCGTGTTGCAGCGCTGTGGGCACAAACACAGTTATGTTAGTGGCATTTTATTTTTCAGAGAATACAATCCCTCGTAAAGGTTAGCAGCAAGTTCTTTGTTGTGGTTTTTTGACAAGATTACAACAAGAGAGAACAGAGAGTAAACACATATTGTAGCAAAAGGGATTGTTTCTTTTTCTGTTATTTTTTACTTTTGGATGGTATCAAAGCTTCTGGTATCGCACTGACATTTTTAGCACCTTCAGCAAGCCTGGGTTCACAGTCTTCCTCAAACAAAACTTCACTTCCACCTCTCCTGTTTTTCATACAATCTTGCAAAGTTTTCTTTTAGGGAGTCTGTCTCTTGAGCTATTCTCTTTCTAACCCTTGCCATTTTTAGACAAATATTGTATTATTTTCCAACTCTTGCACATTCATTGTTTCCTTATTTCACTTTTCAGTTCTTCTCCTCCAACACACACAAGCAGACATTCATAATCCACGGTCATATTTATAGTTTTTTCTCTCTTAACTCTGAAATGCCCTTTCCTGTTGATTTTCTGCTCCTTTGACATTTAAAGTGCCGCTCAACCGAGCACTGGAGTAGCTTTTGCCCTCAGATCAGGGCGGACTGGCCATCGGGACGTTCGGGACGAATCCCGATGGGCCGGTACTGAAGTGTGCCGGTCGGACGATGTGGGCCGGCCGGTAACCGGCAGAGCTCGACATGAAATGGCCCGCTGGCCCAGAAGCACTATTTAGACACCCCGGGCCAGCATAACGTACTTTCCACTTGCCCGCTCGGCCACTAAAAATATTGCTTTAAAAAAATGGTCCTGTGGTATTGGTATTTCGACTAGCAATTTAGTTAAATTGTTTCGCTTATCAACGCTACAACATAGCGTTCCGTGAGTCGGTTGTCGTTGTTGGGTGAAAAGCAAACAGCTGTTTGCTGCTCCTTCACTACAGACTATCGCGCCACCTAACCATTCGCCAAATGTTTTTAATACCAGCGGTAACCGGCCAAGCGCCGGGCAAAAAACAATCTTCAAATAAAAGAAAGTCACCGGAGGAGTTAAAGGAGAGTGACAGGGAGTATGAGAAGAAGAGGGAGAGAAAGTTTCAGCCAGCTTGATCGATGGAGTTGGCTGCAGTGACGCGTCCTAAAACCCTTTTATAATCTATCGATTAGATTTATGATTCGAAAATTATAAAAGTAGGGTAGACATGTGGATATTATCCGGCTGAACAAAACGTGCATTTATCAAACAGGTTTATTTTCCACAGACCTTATTTCCAGCTATTTTCCAAAACCCTTGTCGAGGGAACCAGCAGCTTACTTCCTGGTTTTAGGACGCGTCACTGCACCTCTCAATATGATGCCAATATAAGGTCTTCTGTCGGCTCTGTACATCAATGCCGACCTATGCTGACAAGTAAGTGAAGAGTAGACAATATAAAGGTATTGGCGAAATGTCCCAGCAGTTTAGGATAATGAAGGTTCTAATCAAATCAATTACATAGCCATTACATTTCTAACTCCTAATGACAGGAAGGCAGAAACTGCATTATACAAATAATAATAGGCTACTCATAATAGCAGACATTTTTTAACAATGACCACAATATCATTATTTTAATAAACCAAATATGAACAATTGAGGAAAATGGGGAAGAACTGATGATTAAAATGTTGTAGTACAAGTAGTAATGTAGTGCATAAATTACTATAGCTACAAATGTGTTAATTTTCTTCATTATTAGTCGATTTTTTTTGGACGAATGCTCCGGGCCAGTGGTTACAATGGTGGGGCCAGTGATAATACAAGTCCACCGGCCCGGAGGTAGACATTATTTACCCTTAATGTCTACCGCTAGTAAATTGTCTACCCCCCCCCCCCCCCTGTCGAAGTGGGCCGGTCGAGAGTCCCGGGCTGATTTGTAGTCCCAGTCCGCCCCTGCCTCAGATAGTATTTTTTGAGTGCTAAGCTGAAGAGATCAGCCTAGAATATTGTTGATGTCAAAGGACAGCAGCTGTAATCTTTTTATAGCTTTCTGTTGCCTTATCAGTGGCTCACTCTGCACCCTGGTTCTCGGAGGTCTGGAGGTGAGTGAAACATGGATTTAGGAGAAATCTGTCTTTGCTTAGAGCTCAGATTAAGAGTATAACAGCTTTTGGTCTTCACCCTTTTGACATGGCTGTTTGAGGACATTTATTTTTCAGTCTACAGTATTCATGCGGCATCTTCAAGCAGTCGATATATTTATTTCTCGGACATTGTCGGCTTTAGCTCTGTAGGCTGCTTTAACCAATGTCACTGTTTGAGATGAACTTGTTTCCTGACTTCTTCAGTCTGTAGGATGGCTTTGGCAACACATCCTAACCAACCGCTTTGGGCACCAGCTCCCGCAGCTTCTCATTTAAATTTGCTTGCAATCCAAGTTTGAGTTCAAAAGCAGGCTCAGGAGAAAAAAAAGTCTCACAATATGGCACGAGTATTATGTCTGTCAATGTACAAGAGGCAGAGAAGAAGCGGACACACGTAACAGAAAGACGCTTGTATCTAGTGTGACATTAGAAACTAGTTAAATGTCACCTGTAAAAAACTAACATTTTGAATAGCTCCCCAGAGCAATCACAGCAGGATAAACGTTTCTGCGCCTCCTCTGCTTTTCGAGAAAACAATGAACTTGAGCGGTATTATTTTTGGGAACTTCGGTTGTAGCACAATAGAAATGTAGCAGCCTTGTATTTGTGTGGTTTTTTTTTCTGAGAGACACTGATTGTGTGTGTGTGTGTGTGTGTGTGTGTGTGTGTGTGTGTGTGTGTGTGTGTGTGTGTGTGTGTGTGTGTGTGTGTGTGTGTGTGTGTGTGTGTGTGTGTGTGTGTGTGTGTGTGTGTGTGTGTGTGTGTGTGTGTGTGTGTGTGTGTGTGTGTGTGGCCACTTGTATCTCTAGTACTCTAGTGCGAGACACATTCACTGTGACTTAACAATGAGTTCAGCAGACTGAACCGACCTTGTTAATAACCCAGATAAACAAACACCAGATGAACAGCAACAGTGAAACAATGGCAACACAATAGGCAGTGTTTCATCACTGGCAGACATAGAAGATAATTACAGCTACCTTCCTACTCCCTCTGTGCCTTTTAAACATCCTCTTCTTCACCTCTTCATCCCCTCTCACACCACCCTTCATGTCTTTGTATCGCTCCTGCTCTCACTCTGTTATGTTTTTCTTTTCCCTCTTGTCTTGCTTCATTGATTTCTTTCCATCCTTGTATTTTCGTCTTCTGTCATTCCTTGTCTGACGTTAGCTCTCTACTTCTTTGCTGTAATTAGATCCATTTGCTGTCACACAGAGTGAGGGGGGGAGGTGAGGGAGAGGCGGGAGGATTGAACAGGGTTCACTAATCAGCGCTAAGCTGCTGGCTGAAATAACAAGTTTTTCCCTCTCAGATCCTGACATTACCTCTCCACCCACATCTGCCCCTTGCACCACAGACACACCACCACAAATGAACACACACTCACTTACACATGCACGCTTATTAATGCGCGAGGCACAGCAGAGTCACGTTGGACAGGTGAGGATTTAATTGCCAAAGTCTGTGAAGTGAGACGTTATAGCCAGACCTGGGGTTAGCGAACCAGGAGGAACTCTGTGTAGTGGATTAGGGGATTAGCATCATGGCTTCTTCTAAATACGGCTGTTATTTGATGAAAAGGTTGTTGAGTCACAAAGAACATTCTTTTACTTTAGTTGAGAATTCTTGTCCTACTTTGCCAAGTTTTTCCATCTGCTTTTGGGAATCTGCACTGGCAACGTAGCTTAAAAGATCACTATGAGATAAGCCTC